TGTGTGTGTGTGTGTGTGTGTGTGTGTGTGTGTGTGTGTGTGTAGTAGCACAGAAATAGAAGAATACACATATGTGTGTGGGGGAAAGAATTATCATGGAGAAAAAGACATGCAGTGACTTTCTTCATCAAAACCTTGGCCGGCGATCAAAGCAGGCAAGCTATTGTTGGAAGACACCCTCCCCTTCTCCTGTGCACACAGGCAAACGCAGTTGAACAAACACACACCCTCATACACACACAAACTCAAATGCACACAATCTTCTACCTTCCTCCCTTCCGCCCCCACGCTCCTGCTTTCAAACTTCAGCAGAGAGCTGCGTGCCACTGTCACATTTTCTTTCCAAAGTCACAATTAAAGACGCTGAGCGAGTGTATGTGCAGGTGTGTGTGAGACCGTACGAGTGTGTGTTTGTGTATGTGCATGTTAGAGAGTGAGTTGGCAGTCTGAAAAAAATTTGATTGGCAAACTTTATCTGGGGGCCCCAAGGGACTGCGCAGCCACTGTAAACGATTTATCGGAAAAATGCATCCCAGAATGCACCTGGGGGGCTCTTGCCCCAGGGCGATTATTGAATGACCTCTGAGAGCGCGACTCCTGCTAACCTTCCCGCCCGTCAACAAATTAACTTCCCTCAGCAGTGAAGAGGTCGACCCGTTCAGCAGCCATATTTACACAGAGGGGTTCAGATACAGTGTCAGATCCCAAACAGAGGAGGAGTCTCTGAGGGGAGGAAGGCACCTTCATAAGGACGAGACAACTGTGATGGTGTGGCAAGTTTGTCAATTAATTTCTATTTATTTTCTATCTCTGCAGCCTGTCCCAGAATGCAACTGTTCATATATAATTTATCAAAGTAGTACACATGAATCCCTCTGAAACCACATTAATGCAGACTAGTTTATGTAGTCCCTATTCATATGTTTCAAGATCTTTAGAGCACATTTGCTCTAGATTATGATAATTTGATTTCAAGCACTTCATGTAAATATTGTCTATATGACGACAAAGACAATAATCCAATGGTCAGCACCAATAAACCTATCAAAACCATTTCCCGATAATCAATAAAAGTCAAAAACTGGCTTTAAGCTTCTCAGATTTGAACATTTTGAGCTTTCATCATGCAATCTGTACCATGAACTTTTCACTGTTTTTTTGACACCTTAACAGTAATTAAAAGATCATTTTTGTGTGGTCATTTGTTTTCAAATGGGGCTATATTGTCTTATTTCACCAACCTAGTCTGAATCTCAGGGCTGCCAGTGGTCCTCCATGAAGAGCAAACATCAGGATATCGGTTCCCTCTGGGGCTCCTTCCAGGCCAGCCCCCCACCAGAGTCCTTCCAGGCCTCCACAGCAGCGCAGGTGCTGAGCTAGTCTTAAAGTAGCAGCTGAAGCTACCTCCTCTGCTAACAGTGCCATGCCTAAAGGTGCCAAGCCAAGATCAAAGCACATCAACTCCCCCTGCCCTCCCCCTACCATGGCCACAGCCCCAGCAGGGTGCCAAGCCAGGAGGGTGGGTGGCAGAGGGCAGGGGGCCAAGAAAGAGACCCCCCGTCGCTGGTCGTACAGGACCAAGGAGGAGTCCCTTAAACCAAGTAGAAGTGTGACCTCAGAGGGGTGACGGGAGCAAGAGACAGGATGGGATGGTAGCGGGATGCGGATGACGGACAGACGGTGCAGGCGCTCTCGTGCACATTCATACACACAAGTATGGGCCCAAAACCCCTCTCTGGCTTCTTGGGGTCGTGGAGGTATCTCCACTGTTAGCAGCTGGTAGGGCTGAAGAAGGCTAAATCGACAGTCCAGGAGATTTCCTTCTGTCCGGACAGAGCTGAGAACCTTTAAAAGGGAAGAAATGACGAGAAGAAAAAGGAATATTTTAGAGAGTTTTTAAACTGATGCACACTTGAACATCCTCCCTATGAATCTTATCCGTTAACTTAATAAAATCACAACTTAAGTTATTTCATGTCCCTTACATATTTTACTCTGTTCAATATAGATAAGTCCAACAATGCGCAGGGAGCTGACAGCAGTGCAATGGTAAACTTCATTTTAAAGGGAAGAAATTATGAGCAGAACCAGACTTATTGGTGAGAAGCCATCTGAAGACAGGCTGGGACTGATCAGACAAAAACAACAACAACACCTCCTAGACAAAGTTCTCTCACTTTTACTACTTCTTAGTTGGAGGACAAGAATGGCTAACATGTGTTATAGTGTGTTTAGCATATTCACAGCAAAGAAAGTGATAGAGTAAAAAAAAAAATATTATGCAAGTTTAATTCAATTCAATTTAAACTTGAATTGAGAATCTACTATCAAGTGTCACAAAGCATTGTGTTAAAAGCCAAACTTAAACTTGATCTGTTAATTTTGTTGCTTTTTTAGCATTTCCTTGTATTTGCCAACTTTTAAAACCTTTTTTCATAACTTATAATGAACTAACCTGATTTTGAATAAAAAAAGAGGATAAGAAACGAGGGGGAGAGAAAACTGAAGAGAAAAACAGAATGAGTCATGAAATGACAGTAGCTACAAACACCCCTCGAGATGGAGGAAATGTAGCCATCCTATTTGCTCATAAACACATGGCTGTCAATCAACTCAGCTAATGATAAGAGCTCCATTTTAACTCAAGGTCAACAACATCTTCTCCCCGAGCATGCCACTGTTTGGCACCTAGTGATAAACAACACCCTCTGTTTACCTGTGTGAGGAGCCAAGTGCTCAATAGTAGTCCTGCTAAGTGACAAGAAACAAGCGTTTTTTTCCAATAATAGGAGGAAAGAGCAAGAGGAAAGCATGGAAATATTTGACCAATGGTCGAACCCAGAATTAAGATTATTCATCCCTGGTGGGAGTGGGCACAATGGCCCCGCTTAGCAAGCAAACATTGACACTAAAGGAGATGTCACGGTGGTGCTGTGGATAAAACATCCACAGTAAAACCAGGAACTGTAGGTGGATGACAGGAGACAACAGGCAGTACTATACAGAAGCCAACAATTCCACAGTTACTAACAGAGCTTTTAAGGAGAGATTTCACCCTACCAAAGCCTCTATCAGAGCCTTGCATTGACCGTGGCAGCTTTGGCTAAATGAGCCCATTTCTTTTCGCCGTGCTGACAGAAAGAGGGATCTGCAGCCTGCCTACCTTCCTTTCCTTTCCCAAAGCTGCCCGGCCCAGTTTTTTGGCAGGCATTGCCAAAAAGGGACTTAGAGGGAGGAAGAGAGGAGTTTTTTTGCCTGCACATGGTCTACAGCAGGAGAGAAGCAGATGACTGTCCTCCTGAAAGCTTTTTTCCTTCTAGATAATCCCCCAGAGCCAGCTCCTGCTGCTCCACAGGGGGTGGGTGCTGTTTGTGTGTGTGTTCATCTAAGGCAGCTAGAAAGAGGGGCTCAATTCATGTTAGAGGTGGGGTATCCTTGGAGTGTGCTGTTCTCTGGATAGGTACATTTCTGCTTGGACAAAGTGGCACATGCATTACATAAACTTGCACACAAACAAATAGCAGGAAGTCCATCCAACAGAAAACTGCCACAGGATTCACAACACCTACTTCCACAAACGCTGACCTGGCCCCCTCCAAAAAATAGAAAATAAATAAATAACCCTACAAAAAAAAGACATCTTATCCTCTCAGCTTTTCATCTGGTGCCCAGCTCACTTGTGCCCACCACCCGCTGTGCCAGCAAGCCACCGTGGCACCATCAGGGCTAAGGTGAGGCTGATTCAGCTCTGCCTCCCCCTGATAGGTGACCCTCCAAGTATAGGAGAAGGGGGACAGTGTCAGCTGCAGCTCAGAAGCAATGAGTAAATACTGAACAGCCAGGTTCAATCTGCAAAAGCCAGTCAAGAGTTCAAGATCAATCAGTGTTTACCTTTGTTTATACTCCATGTGCAAAAACCAGGTATGACCAGGTATGGCGAGAGTGAATAAATATTTAAAACAGTACTTTGATTTTCAGCTAAATCATGCCATGCTTTTTTAATATGTTTAACAGCAGTAATTAAGTATAAAATGTCCCAAATGAGTCATCATTTAATCAGTTTTTATGTGTGTGTTTAATAAGTTGCCTAGGTGTTCACACAGATCTCCAGAATATTTAAGATCCAGGTAAAGACCTTTAGATTTAATATATTCATACCTAAATATCAGCAAGATAATGTGTCCTTACTTTCCCTAGTGCCTGACCTAAACTGAACATGGGGATTAATCTGAAGTAGATGTTGCAAAAAAGAGCAACATCTAAAAGGCAGAAGTCTTCAAATCCAAATAGTGCTGCAGTGGAGTGCACAGAGACCCCGCATCAAAAACTACATCCCCACACAGTCACAAATTTACAATCACAACATTTTTTAAACGGACTGCAAAGCAGCATTTTGACTCTGGGTCACCTTTTAAGGCCATGGTGTGCCTCATTTTACATTCCACATAGACAGAGCAAACGCAAGCAGAAGGCCCCTGAAGGCAACACGGCTGATTAGGAGATTAGAGCATGGCACTCATGATCTTCAGGGTTACAGGGCTAGGATGTGTCGGAACATAAACTCTTAAACTGCTAAATTTCATGCCGCTGTAAGCACAACAGGACACGAACATGACGTAAAATATAAACATTTGCAAAAACTGACTGAGGCTTTTTTTTTTTCAGGACATTTTTGCCTTTACTGGATAGGACAGCTGAAGGGAGACAGGAAATGTTGGAGGAGAGAGTGGTGGATGACATATTGAAAGGGCCGAGGGCCGTTGTGATGAGGACTTAGCCTCTGTACTTTTGGCGCACACTGTAACCACAGAGCTAAAACATCGCCTTGTATGTTCACCTTTTACTCTTATTTTTTTTAACAATTCAACTTGTTTTACAAATTTCCACATGCATAAAATATTGTAAAAAAACATGTTGAAACTAGAACAATGCCCAATCTTTAAAGGAAAAGGGAAAATGACTTCTCCAATACATTTTGCAAGTGTCATTGTAAGATTTTTACAAAAGAAAGCCTTCTGTGCATGTGAACTCTCCAGAGTACATTGTGTCATGTGAAAATAATGTATTTCCAAATTGTAAGAGAATAATGTTGAAAATGATGAGTAAGATCAGGAGGGAGGTGGAGCAAAGTGAGTGTTGATGTGTGAGAGAGAGCGAAAGAGTGGGAGAGAGACAGAAAGAAATGTACGCAAAAGATGATGAGAGAGAGTGGAAATGGAAGTGAGTGAAGACAGTGGAAAGGGAAAGAGGGGAAAAAAAGAGGAGGTGGATACAGAGAGAAAGATGCAAAGAGAGCAGAGAGACAGACAGAGAAGGGGGGGGCTCTAGTAAGTAGCTTTCTCCTGGTTATTGGTTTCAGTGACTGGTCAAAACTATTCTTCTCCATTCTTCTTGTCTCTCTCTCGCCAGCACCTTTTTTTCCCCCTCCGTGGCGTGAAAGATAAAGCGGACGGGCCCAACTGTGTGGCTGGCCCTTGTTCACAGCAGTGGCCTTTTGAAGCCAATTTTCCAGCTCACGGAGCAGAGAAAGACGGAGAGAGACGGGTAGAGAGACGGAGGGACTTGGAGGGATGAAGGGATGAGGGTTGTCGGTTTGGGGGGGGGGGGGGGTGTGTGCTGGGAAGTTTTAGGTGTGTGAATTAGGGTTAGAGTTGAGGTATTGGTGTGAGAAAATGCACAGGCACAGCAGGATTTCCAATCAGAATATTCCTCATACCTTAACTGTCATAATTGGTACCGCTGAACATAATTGTAGGGCAGAGTGAACATTATTCACTAGACCTGAAACTGTGGCAGCAGCATTTCCTGTGTGATTTTTACAAAGCGAGGAAGCTCGGGGGTAATTCTGCTCTTTGGATTCCATTCCCGACCCTTTCATGGTCCAAATTATGACTACAGCTCATTTTTTCTACTTCCCATGCTTTAATTCTGCATATTAAGGCTGCAGCTTTTTATGTTTCACAGGCTAAATTAGCCATTTCAAACTGTTAATTTGGCTTCTAATATAGTCTAAATCACAGCATTCTAGCAGGAGATGAACGACACATTTTGTTTCTATGCAATTATATTTTCTTTTTATATAATTTACTCCCTTTGGTGTTTTCTTTCTTGGACAATCCGTTTAGGTTTTTTTTATTTTGAAAGTGAAAAAGGCCTTGCAGCTCAGTGGTGAAGTCAAAAATAATTAAAAGACCACAGAAATCACAGAAACGCAGATCAACAACTGCAGAGAAAATGCGACAGATAACAGGATAGTCATACACTTTATAAACAACAACAACAACAAGAAATATATTCAAATATGGCAAGAAAAAAAAATCATCTGGTGCTTTCTTTCTATTAAGATGATTAAATTCCAGGTAATTGTTTGTATGTATGTTTGTTTGTGTGTTTGTTTAGGGTGGGGGGGGGCATGAAGGAAGGGTAATTAAAAATGTTAACCAGCTGTATAAAAAACGACTATATGTGTTTTCCTCTCCTTCCCACCCTCCACCCCCTGCATGCCGTGGCTCCACTTATCAGCAGGAGGATGGGGATGGGGGGATATGAATTAAGACCACATAGGGAAAGAAATCAGACTTTTTTAAATGCCGAGAGACTGGCTAGAAAATTGGCTTAGTGTGGCAGATAGCGAACTGAACAAAAGGAACATATATATGAGCTTGAAGTGATTGAAGTAGCTGGCGTCTCCCGATGTTTGCCCGGCGTTTGATTCCCGCCACGGCTCTTACATAAACTGCTCGTCTAATTTCACACCGCGCATCTGAAAAATGACAACAAACGCTTTCATTAGAGCGCATTGCCGCAGCCCCATGAAGTACTTTAATGTTCTTGAAGCGTGGAGGAAGGAAGGAAGGAGAAGGAGGAGAGGGAGGACGTGTGAGTGTGTGTGTGTGTGTGTGTGTGTGTGTGTGTGTGTGTGTGTGTGTGTGTGTGGGGGGGGGGGGTGAAGGAGACGGAGAGAATAAACTAGGTGAAGGAGTGTGATAAATGTGGAAAGTGTTCCAAAAACAAGAAGCGGAAAAAGCAGAGAACAACATCTGCTTTGCTTATTTCAATATTCAAGTAATCCCCCCCAGCTCCCATATGTGAATTTGTTTTCCTAGCATGCGATTGGTAACGCTCATCTTTCCTCCTTCTTGCAGACTCTCCCTCTCTCTCCCTGGTGCGGAGAAGATTTTGCATATGTTTACCGCGGTACTAGGACTATAGAGTTAAGCCCAGTTCGGTAATTTGGGATCTTTCATCTGCTTTGGGCACGAGGCCAATCCTAGGTTGACACAGAATTGGGTTGTAGTTAGGGTTTTGCCAGGGGCCATGATGATGTGTATGTGTGTGAGCATGTGTGGATGTGGAGGCGTTCTCCTTCACACAGCACCAAGGCTTAGTGCTCCTGCTTTCTTCATATGGTGATGCATGGAGGTGTAACACAGAGGTGCCACCCTTGAGGTGACTAACACACCATCACCAATCCCATCTACCACAACACAGGTCTCCACTGAAAAAAAAGCAGCTTTGTTGCCTTTCACTGTGCGCGTGTATTTTGCAGAGCGTGTGTGAGAGGTTGCCTGAGTCTGTGAAAAACGAACACACAGATTAACCACATGATCTGTGCACTGAGTTTAAGTTTACAAAGAGCAATGAAAAGTTTAAAACAATCTATAGATGTTACACATTTCATAAACAGCCTGAGTGGCTGTTTATAAAAAAGTGTAACAAATGTGTGACAACTTAATGTTTGTTCTGTCTCATTTACTTTTGTTCCATATTCTGTATTCAATCGTGATGGTTATTAGCTAGAATTAGCTTAGCTTTTTTCCTCTGCCATAGTGCAGTCTTAAGCAGCCATGTCCTGTTCCTGAGAGATTTGAAGATGGTCTCGGGCCAGGTAGGATATGTTACCTTACATTGAGTTCCAGGCTTGCCCTGGATTTCTTTCTGGCTCAAGTTCCCAAAAAGAAGATCCACGTGAGACAGAATGGTCAGACATATTTCAATGAGAAAATGCAATAGTTCTAGGCTGAACTCTTTTTTTCGATATTACTATTACTGATTAAAAAATGTTCCCTCTGCCTTAGCTTCATCTTCAGTGCAAAAGCTCAGCACTGCTTAAACATCCCCAATTGATGTAAAGGTTTCACACTTACATCCTTCAATTGATTGCACTTCCTCATTTTATGCAGCAAGTTACTTGAAACAAGATTGTATCATAGTCTATAATTTTTTTTTGTAATTGCTGGTGGTGAAATCCTGAAATCACCAAAAATTGACATTTACATGCCAGGTCTGCAAGTATCACTCATACTAGTATCAAGCTGGAGTTATTTCCAGGAATATCAACATACTCCAGTTGTAGAACCCCACAGCTGGTTCCGATGGCTTCACCACCTGATATTTCACCGGTTAACCCACAAGACTTCACAGGTACACATCTGCAGGACCCTCCTGACCCCTCCAGTGATAAATTGTCTGGTGCATCCTTTCCCAATAAACTTACCTTGCCTTGTCCTGTGTTTGCATGTGTTGAGATATTTCTGGACCAAACAGTTCTTGGTAATCACAAAGCGGAACTGCCCATCATGAGCTTCCAGGCGATCCACATAACCTCCAGCTTTTTTTAAGTTAACCTTTACACTACCCATAGGAACCCTTAAGTGACACAGGCCTGTTTGTGGTTTGTATAGCAATTTAATATGAAACAACAATGAGATAGAGGACATATTGGTAGGAATTATTTTGTTTCTAATGGATACCATGAAATGATGGGGACTTCCTAAAGTTAGACTCCACCTCCAATCCATTTTAGCAGCTTTTAGTAATTTTTTGAGGAAACCAACATGAGCTGTTATAGAAGAATTTAAAGATGGCAGGTTCATCCTGTGGTATTGGATCATGTGTGCGCCTACACCATACATTATGCCACTAAGGGTTCCTGGTGTTTTGGATGAGTCTAAATAAGTCTCTCTATTCCACGTTCTCAGACCTACAACTCTGCACAGTTCTTGCAGTGCAAACCCTTGTAAAGCAGGGTTGCTTTAACTGCTCTGTATAATAAAGTTCCTCCAGTGCAAGAAGTTTTTACATGTGTTTGTTTGTACCTTGAGGCCTTCAGTAGGTGAGCAGCTGAGCAGGACCACGTTGTTCCTGGGTGTGTTTGAGGGAGTCCAGGACCACAGCTCCTCGTCGCGCTTGTCCAGGTTCCACCACACCAGTGCCACATCCTGGAGACGGTTGAGACCGACACGTCTGTGAAGCCTTCGACCCTGTCCACTCACATCTACACAGACTACCTGGACATTGAGACAAAACACACAGATGCACTGATTATAATTCAATTCAAAAAACTTTATTTGTCCCCGGGGGGGCAATTCAAAGGCACACAGAGCAGTAAATTAACAACAGTGCAAGTAAACAAAACATTTTAACCTAAATAGAAAGTGTCAATTTAAATACAACTTAGAGCTTAAACTTAACTTAAAAATACAAAATATAAAAAAGTAGATATAAGTGGACAGTGATCGGACTAACAGATGTAAACAGATGTAACCATAACTATGTGCAGTAGTGACCAGATGTAAACAGAACTATATGCAGTAAATGAGAAATAAATATATATATACAGAGCTATGTGCAAGTAGGCTAAATACTAAATGATAAGTTATTAAGGTGCACCTATAAGCACCTAAAAGAGCTTCTGATTTTTGCAATAAGGTCAGAAGTATGACGATAGACACTTAGAGACACAAGCATGGAGTTAAAAAAACTTTTTAAGAAGAAGGGGACGTTTTCAGTGTACCTAGGTGGTTTGGACTCACATGCCTGATTTGTGTTAACACTTGAGGGCTGTATATCTTCCACATCTGTAGCCCCAAATACCCCCCCCCACACCCCCACCCCTGTCCTTCCCCGATCCTGTTATTGTTGATGTCTAAGGTTGTTTTTTATCTTCCATTATTAATGTGCGTGTGTGTTTTGGTCTGTCAGGCTTGTTGTTTTAGTGATGTGCATATTTTTGGGGAAGGTCTGCCACGCTCTACGGGCCACAACAAAGAGACCCACAGTAATGAGCTCTCGTGGTGCTTGAGGGGGGCACACACAATCCCAAAGACACACACACGCATATACATGAATGCATGCATGTATGCACACAAATACACATGTGCATACATGTAGAAGCACTGGCGTAAATGGTGTCAAAGATACACTTTTGTAGATAGCAAAGTTCACAAAATGCACATTAAACAAACAGAACTCTTTTCAGAAGCACTTTGGTAGATGGTGATATTAAAGGTCTCGCTGTCAACAAGCACACACACTCCCATATTCATACAGGCCTTACATACTCTTAACCTACATAGGCCTTACACACATTTCCTAACACAAGTGACCAGATTCAATCAAGTCAATTCACACACATTAGTACGCACACACAACAGAACACGTTTTCATGACTTCTGTAAAAGTGCAAGGGAGCGGCCAATACCTAATGTGTTGTCAAAGCAGAATACAAAACTTTTTATTATTATTACAATAAAAAGGCACAGTAACACACAAAAATTAATAAATCGGCACACTGTACTGTATGAGTAGAGCAGGTTTAAGGTTCAGTGGTCCATGTCTGCCCTTCTTGCCCCCTTGAGGGGAATATTTGCTTTGGACACAAAATACAGAGCCAAATTAAAAAGATGGAAGTATATCTGATGATAAAGAGAACAAAGAGTTGCCCCCAAACAGCTAAATGGCAGATCACTGACAGATTAGAAATGGAAAAAGATGAAAAGAAATAAAAAAAATCGGAAAATCACTGGGGTTAATAACACACTCTATATCTACCCCCGCATGCCCCTCCATCCCTACCCGTCTCTTCAAGCCTTTTTTTTTTTTGCTGGCGTTTGCTGGTCAGCAATAATCAGAAACCACTTTCTGTGGGCCGGATTAGTTTACCCCCCCCCCCCCCCATCGTCCCCCACTATCCCTCTCCAGCTTAGCCCACTGGACCAGGGCGCTGTGTATGTGGTTGTGCATGTGTGTGTTGGTTGTGGGGGATGGGTAGTTGGGCGTGCGTGTGCACCTGTGTGTATATTGCAGGTTACATGCACATGCGTTGACAGAGGTCTGGACAATATAGGGTGGCTGTGTGGGGTTGGTGGTGATGGTGGGGTGTCTTATCAGGGCTATGCTTCTGGAGACAGACACACAGAAGGAACGACTGCTTTTATACACAGACAACATGCACACGCACACACACCCACACACACCTCAACTAAAGGGCCTGGCAGTAATGTGATAATGACAGGGTTAGCTGTTAGCTTGCTTGTGACAGAGGACACAGTGTAGTTTTGTTTAGGGGAAGGGAAAAACTTCTGTAGACTGCAGATGCCTGTTACAAAAAAATACAAAAACTCCATCAGATCACAAATCTTTTTTAGGGAATTATAGACAGAAATAGGAAAGAAGTAGAGGGTTAAAGGTCACCGTTTGTGGTCTTATTCACAGGATTCTGACATTGAATGTGGTTATGATAAAAAGGGAGTCAAACATTAGTTTGTGTCACAAAATTGTGTCAAGCCAAATGAACAGCATTCAAGGGTATCAAAGATAGACAAAGATCTTAGGGCACTAAGACAGATTTGATGGCTAACCAAGTGACCAAGTGTCTTTGACTTTTGAACACAACATTAACGTCTTTGCTAATTTCCACTTCTTTTTGTAGCCTCTTCCAAGACAGCAATCAAAAAATATTAATGTTGGAAAAGCAATGTCTCTGAGGTGCTGATCACAAGTTAAAATAGTCTATCAAACTTAAAAGATTCTTAGTAGATGTTTTATAAACTTGCTGTCAGCAGGAAACAGTTGATAATGTAGCAAAGACCCAGATAATGCTGCAAAAACACAGAAGGTATCTTTTCCTGCTAACCTTCCATTTATAAATATTAGATTTTGAGATTTTGCATGTTCAAAGGTAACCATTTTGTATCTCTTATACAATGATTAGCATACTGTTTGGCTGTTTGTAACAGAAGTGCACCATATAGGTTTATTTTTTTACTCATTTTGCTTAATCTACCTCGGCAAACACACGTGGTCAAACATGAAATAGAAGACATTTTGAAAATGTCATTCTTTGAACAGATACAAAAATGTATTTGGACAATGATACGTAAAGGCATTTCCCGTTTTATTCTCTTACTCTTCATCTTCTTCCTTTGACTCTGCCACTGTCTACTTCTCTCTCTTATAAACAACAACCTAGCTACACACACACACTTTAAGCACACACATTACTGACGCACACTCCATCAATGCCTTCCACTGTACCTTGATTTCAGAGGCTGAAAGTTTGTCTGTTCGCCTGCCAGTCTCTGGTGTGTCCTGGTTCTTTTGGTTGAGGTAGACTGCAGCCACTTGGCTCTGCTCCAGGAAGGACAGCAGAATCAGCCTGTCGCTCAGCACCGCTGGGGATGACATCATTGCACTGCTCATTCAATGTCATGACTCAAAACAGAAAACAACGGTATATTGTTAAGGTGACACTCACAGAGTTCACTGTCTCCTTCACAGCAGTAAACTGTGATTAAATATCACTACTCACTGATTACAACACATTCAGGTTTCCATCTGTTTTCTTTATCTTTTAGATATAAAACAACAACAGCTTGAATCAGGATAGAAACAGGGATACTAGGTAAAATGCTGCACACATAATTAAGTAAAAACACTAACTATTTAAACATTGATTATGTTTTACATTTTTGTATAGCCTGTAACTGCCTAAAGCAGAGAAACTTAAGCTTTGTCAAAAGTAGAGGCATAACAGAGCAAGGAGCCAGAAATTCATCCTCGATCTTTCATATTGATAAAAGATTGATAAAATACAGTATGTTCAAGTTTTACATGAACTTCATTAGAAAAATAAAAGCCTGAGCATTTATAATCTTGGGTGCTTAAATCCCATTGTGACAGAATGAAGATGTTGTCATTCAAGAGTTCTGGCCTGGCTGTTGTTTTATGTAGTTTTTTGAGTTTTAAAATTGTTTCAAGTAAAAAAAAAAAAAAAAAAAAGGTCTCTTAAGTCGCTTTTTTTTGCCAACTGGGTTAAGACATTTGTAAATGAACCTGTTCTTAGCGTATTAAAGCTTTTGTGTTTGCCCGATTCCTTTGAATGTGAAGTTTACATTCCTGGGGAAAAAAGAATCACACGCACATCCATCATCACACAGCAGTAGTTTACTTGTAGTTGGAGGCAATGGTCTTTTTTCAACTCTTTGTAAAGTTTGGAATTATTGGATACTAAGACCAAAGACAAAACAACTGACACTGACACTTCAGAAACCAGTGATAAACTGTAAAAAAGTAAAAAGGTTACCGTTAGTGAAGTGAAATCTCACCTGCAATTAGTGCCAAAGGTGTCACCCATGGTGTCAGCGTACGCTTGAAAAACATCTTTGTCAAAGATTCACTTATTATAAAATGTATAGCATATATATGTCTAGCACATATTGGATACATAGAAACATGTTGATGAATAAAAGAAGATTCTTCAAGTAAGTTATTAATCCCGGCAGAGATTCATTTTGATGTAATCGACTCCATTAACAAACTAATCATTTAAATTTTATTAGTGATTTGGAAGGATCATCTAAAAAAAAAATGCTGCATCATGTATTTACGTGAGTTTGAACCTTTTAGTTAATGCAATGGAAACAATGAAAAAAAAGGATTTAGTCTGAGTTTCTCCTTAATGTTATCGCTTCATTATCCAGCATGAACATAAGTTATAATCCCTGTTTTCCTATCTAATTTAGTCTGATAAGTATGAAGTTAGAGGAAACACATTTCAGCCCCAGTGTGTCTTCATGCCATGCTTGTTCTTTTTTCCCCTTCTTACTCTTTTAACACATTTTCCCCCTTCTCCTCACTCTCACCATCTCTTCTCCTCTCCCCTGCCTCTTTCATTCTTTGTATCTCTTTCCTCCCCTGTTCTCCTCTCTCTCCGCCTGTTAGTGTACAGCAGGCTCTAAGGCCTTTTTGTGGTAGAAGAACACACTTGATCCTGTTCAACTCTTCAGGAGGTGCATGGAAACACTGATTAGCAATTAAGCCCCCCTCTCCTTCAAATTAATCTGTTTATGAAACCAATTAAACGGAAAGGAGGGTGGGTGGGTGGGTGGGGGGGGGCTTGTTACACATGTCTCTCAGATATCCTACTTTGAGTTGAACGAGTAAGGCTGCACCCCGAGATTTAGAAATATAACTGCCAATTAACCGTGGCATGAGTGTATTTATAAACGTGAGGGTTTAAATCATTCTGTTGTGTTAAAATTTCAAATTAATATGCAAATATTCACAAGGGAAGCGAAACACAGCTTGAAAAGTCAGAAAAACTAGCATCTCAAATCAGGTCAATCCACTCAGTCTGTCCTGAAACTGCGGTTGGATTATAAAGCATTTGTAATAAAAAAAACTGGTTCAAACCTTAAACCGTTAGGAAATACACCCATTAATGATGCCTGGGCTTTCCGGACAACATTTAATGCAATAGTAAGCGTCTTTGTAATAGATTACAGACAAATCAAGTTAAATGCAGTTTAGTATTGATCTCTATGGGTGTCTATAAACGGGATTAGGTTTAATCCCATTCATTCCAAAATGAAGGAGGGGATATGAATCCAGGCTGTGGCCCAATCTGGGACCAGGTGGCTGATTTAGCATTAAGGGCCAGACCTTTATGACCCACCCTGATGCAACCCCCTGACACACACACATGCACAAACTGAGTACACATACACACTCATACAAGCCCTTAGAACACATACACAGATAGATATAAATATACATTTTTACATTCAAGCCTGCATCCATGCTTCATGCATACTCAGTTACACACACCAACACACACATTCACACCCACAAGCAGAATAACCAAGCACATGTTAAAAGTACGCACATGGCCTCCTTCACATACATGCACACGCACACACACAGTCCTCTAAATCCATTTAATGCCATCTCCTCAGCAGCATGTTGACATAAGAGGCCAATGGGCTTAACCAAAGCACATTTAAACACGGTAAATGAAACCGGCTATGAAAAATCACTTAAGGATGCTTAATCGTGGAGCATATGCGCAGCTTGGCCCAGCCGTCAGCCAAAGGGAGCCGGTAATACTTTGATGGTGTAAAATATATGTAATCTATCGCTCCGTATGATGCAATCAGAGCTCGTGGTTGAAACAGGAAGGTAACAGGCATTGAAGATGCAAAGTTTAAGAGAGGACAGTAAGCCTCCTGCTTTGTCACACCATGAAACAAAAACAGACCTGGCTGCCATAGCTTGATGTCTCAGAGAGGAGAATATGGACCAGGACTCACATTCAGCTGAATCCATGGGAATCAGTAAAGGGATTTTCTTCAGCATTCAAAGACTGAGAACGTTTTTGTTTTACAAAGTTGTCAAATCCTGTCCTGAAAATGTGAACAACTCTGTCATGCAGGGAGGGGTTAAGAATGGAGGGAATATATAATTTGATGATTTACTGTGATGTGTAATTCTACCTCCATTAATGGAAATTAAAACATTTGATCACCTAAAAAAAACCCCAACTCTGTCATGCACAGTGACTTACAGTGTGGTTAGCCGAGTCCAATAAAGATTAGACTGCAATGGATACAATGATTCATCTATTGAAGGAAAGTTGGTGTCATAAACTTTATTCATACTGCTAATTGACAGCAACATGATGCTGTTTTAATTAAAGGTGTCATGAACACTTCGAGTCAAAGTTTGACCATATTTGTGTGTCTATAAAAACATTTAGGAAAGAAGTAACACTTCTTTCTGCTGCTTACACGCGGTTAGATTCTGCAGCGTGGCAGCATTAGCAAACGCTCTAAGCACAGATCCATTCATCAACCAATCAAGGCTCAGATTTCTACGGAAGGATCCTTTAAACATTGGATCCCGAATCAGATTCAGATCATTCAGCTGAAGAGGACAATCAACTAAACTTCTGTTGGATGTATCTGACTGTTTCAGAGCCATAAGCTGAATGTGTTAAGACAAAAATAGATTATTATGAAATCACTACGTTCAGTGAGATGCATGTATACAATGTTCTGTAACTCTGCTTTGATTGTAGACCTGCATTGTGTTTTTCATATCAAAAATGGATTATAATACACATTTAAAGCTTACTCTCTCATCTCCTTTACTCTCGTACTTTACTGTTACTTATTTGCCTGCATAGTTAAAATCAGTAGAACTAGTCTTTCCCAATTTTACAATGAAACCAGAACCAGAATCAGATCAAAGTTTTACCGTCCTGTAAAGTGAGGGTCTGTCTTGTCTTGTCATAGTGGAGCTAAAGGAATGGCAGTAGTACCTTCCTAATGTTTTAACATTTTCGATTTAACATCTCGTTAAAACGTTAACAACGTTAAAGCAAAAATGTAAAATATTTTCAAATGACAGCTACTCAAACTAGAGGAATAAACAATCAAGATAAATCCTATTTTTTTAGTGTTGTCTGACTGGTGCTCAAAAAAAAAAGGTGTTTAATTGTAAAGTTGGGATAAGCTTTTTCTTCATCAATTGAACAATAGCGGAAAGGAAATAGGCAGATTAATCAGTTTAAGTAAGTCAATATTGTATAGCCTATACGTCCTTTTTAAAAATCTATATAATATTTTAGAGATTAAATACAAATTCATGCAAATATAATAAGGCACTTGTACCTAGCATTTGTCACAACAACACACACATGCACAAACAACACACACACACTTCATTACACAACTTGATTGAAATTGAAAACTCTTGCAGTATTTGTACGTTGTAAATGTGTTCCATGGTGTGATCTGGTCGGGAGCTCCAATTGTCTCAGGCTAATTTAACAAGTGACAGATGTTAGAACAGCCTCCTACCCTGCACACAATTATACACACTAATACACACACAATCCCCGGAAACCACCCTCTCACAACCATTACTCTAATAATTAGTGCCTCTGAGGCTTTGAATGGAGCGCAGTGGGAGGTGAGTGGGTGTGTGTGTGTGTGTACCTGGGTTTGTGTGCCTCAATGTGTGCCATTGTGTAAGTGTGCATGCGCGTGTGTGTGCGTGTTGGAGTCTGTGTGTACGTGTGTGTCTTCCTGTGAATGTAAGCGTACATACAGTAAGTGCTTGTCTTTATTTTAAAAAACAGCTGTGCCTCTGTAAATACATATGAATGCATGCAAGAGTGTGCGTGTGAGTGTGTGAGTGTGGGTGTGTGTGCCTACTTCGTGTATGTGAGAAAGTGTGTGTATATGTGTGAGTGCATGTTGGGGGCTTTATCAGGTGTCTGGAGACCCGGACGGAAGCAAGGAGGGCAGTGTTATGAACAAATAATTGATACAGAAAGAAAGAAATAATTAGCAGATTTCAACGGCTGTCCACGGTCTCTTATTCTCTCCTGCCAGGTCTGCGGTGCGAGGGAGTGCTGTGTGAGGGGGGGCGGGGCTCCCTGGAGGAACGCGCGATGGAGGAAAAACACTGATGGATGCTCTTAAGGGAAGGCCCCTGGACACACACAGCACAAAAGGATTTGCCCGCAATTAGCTAGCAGAGTCGCCCCGCTCACCTGTGGCACCTGTTATTCGTTTGTGTGAGGCAGCGCATGTGTGAGCGAATGATTGCGTGACAAAGTGGCAAGGAGAGTGGGGATTGTGTGTGCGTGTGTGTGTGTGTGTGTCAAGCTGATTGTGTGGTGAGCAGGTGTAAGCACACAGTGGGTGCTGAAATTGTAAGAGAAAGTGTGTGGTTGAGGGTTTTTTGTGGTTTGAAATACTAAACATTTGAATGAAAACATCTGTGTTTGTGTGTGTGTGTCTCTTGGCAGAGATAGGTGGCTCAGCTATGTGGCTGAAACAAAGATTTGTTGTGTCCTTAAATCTGCTTAAACCACAGTGAACCTTTAGAAAATCTATGTCACATATAAACCATGATTTCATCCAGTGAATGCAAAAATCTCAACAATACAGCCGTGTTGGTTACGCAACAGCTCTAATTAGCATCAGCAGCACCAAAGTAACCCCGACCACAGTCAAAAATGTCTGAGGGCTTTATAACAGCAGGCATCAAGGCTGGATTCAAGAGTGAGACATTCAACACAGATACAGCATATTGTATATCCCCGGCAAAAAGAAAAGAAGCTAAACGAATAAACACAAAGGGTGGAAATGTCTCACACCAGCCAGCCTGCTTAATGGACATTGTTTATTACACATTGTGTGTGTAGGTGTGTATGTGTTTGTGTGTAACTTACTATCAGTCACAGTGTTGGCTGGTAATCGGCCCACTAATGTTCGGTCTATAAACACTTGTTCAAGTTGAGGTCCATTAAGGGTCATGGTCACCAGGACTCCACTGCTCATCATCACCTGCAACACACACACACACACACACACACACACACACACACACACACACACACACACACACACACACACACACACACACACACCACACACACACACACACACACACACACACACACACACACACACACACACACACACACACACACACACACACACACACACACACACACACACGTTTCTGGATTCAAATTTGGCATATTGGGGGCGCTGGTGGCGCAGTGGTTAGTGTGCGCGCCCAATGTATAGAGGCTATAGTCTTCCAAGCGGGTGGCCCAGGTTTGAATCCAGCCTGTGGCTCATTTCCCGCATGTCATTCCTCACTCTCTCTCTCTCCCAGATTTCCGACACTATCCACTGTCCTATCTCTCCATTAAAGGCACAAAAAGCCCCAAAAAAATTTAATAAATTGGCATAATGAAATTCACCTGTTAACTTCTATTACAGAACAGCAAAGCTCTTTTTTCCGGAGGCCTATTCTGGGCAGACCACGGGAGGTTCATTCAGCTTCTGCCACTCTCTGAACTGTAAAAAAAAGAGGCTTGTGTGTGTGTGTGTGTGTGTGTGTCTTTTAGTGCTTAGAAAGGTGTGTACCTGGCAGCAATGTTTGCTCCTCCATCTGGTCTGAACGCAGGTGTTGGTCTGCAACAGCTCCTGAATACACAAAAGAAAAGTACAACACACAGAGATAATGCAGTTATGTTGCTGAACACAGATTTGGGTACAGAAACTTTAAATGTGGTATTTTTTGTGAATGATTCTTTTTTAATTGGTAAATAAACCATTAGAAGTGACATCTGCTTGCCTCTACAAAACTTGTGAAAAGAGTTAAGAAAATGTGTACGGTAATTTGTACTGTATTGTAAGCTCAGTTATATTTTGTTAATATTTATAATTATGTGCATGTTACTTGACATTTGAAATGCTTGTTTTTTTAACCTAATTTTCTCACGTTTGTATCAACAAAAAAAAAAAACTCAGTCTCGTATGTAATAATTTGTTTTTTTTAATAAACCTAATACTTCGAGTCAAATCTAGTTACTATCTTGGTGAAATGCCAGTGTCGCTCAAAGTTGCAAGAATATTTCTGAACATACACAATGTCAGACACTTGCACCCACAGGTGGCCACAGCAGCAGTTCCTGCTCACAAGGGGGCAGGGAGAGAGTTGAAGGAGGATTCAGGTAAGTACTGCCTGTGCCCATGTCAGCGTGTGTGTGTGTGGGCGTGCATGCGTAAGGTCAGTCATTCCAGCCACATTCCAAACCCAGCTGGGGTGATTGGATGGGAGGAGAGAGGGACGGAAAAAGGAGGAGGAGAAGGGGGAGGAGGAGGAGGAGGAGGAGGGTGGGGTGTGGAGGTGAGCTGGGGTGTTTCTCGTTTCAGACAATGGTTACGGGTGAGAGGAAGGAGGTTGATGTGTGTGTGAGAGAGTGAGAGTGTGTGTTTGTGCGTGAGTGTGTGTGTGTTAGTGTGTGAGGGAGAGTAACATCCACAGGCAGGTTCCAGCAAACAAAGCTAGGCTTGTACGGCCACAAGTACGGGGGGGGGAGGAGGAAGAGGGGATGAATGAGGGGAGAGGAAGGGAAGGGAAGGAGGAGGAAGAGAAGGAGGGAGGAAGAAAAGAGACGAGGGGGCAGCCTGCATCCCCCTGATCCCCTCAAATATCCCCCTCGATGACAGAGCTCAGCCGAAAGCGAGGTGATGACAGAGGAGAAGAGAGAGAGGAGAACAAACGGGAGCGACAGGGAGAGTGAAGGGAGAGGGAGAAAAGAGAGAGAATGCCCCTATTTGTTAATCAATCGGCCGTTTCGGAAAGGGAAAACTCAGAAAATCCCCAGAGGGAGGAAGAAGACAAGAGGGGGAGGCTGGGAGGGGAGTTGGGAGAAGGTTTCACAGAGGAGGCGGGTACCTCAAACTCCTTCAGCGAATCACGAAGCTTCTCTGGTCTGCGGTTCTTGGGGGTCCATGAGAAGCCTCGAGCTATGAGGGAACAACACGAGAAAAACCTAAAGATCATGTGACTGGAAGTTTGAACACAGACATAGGAGAAATTATTTTTCTTGCTAAAGACCCTCATGGGAATTCAAGGGAATGTGGTAACAAAAACAGAGAGGGTAAAAGGGCTAAACTTTATATCTGGCTTTAGATCTAAGTATGAGAAGGGTGGAGGAAGAGAGGGTGGTGACAAGACTGACAGGTGGAATAAAGGGATGCTACTAATGAAATGACCACAGGAAGGACTTCTGGGTCCCAATTAGTTAACCTAATAGAATTGCTTTTCCCTTTTCCAGCTTTTTTGATTATTAATTATTCAAATCCTTTATGGCATCTAATATAATCTGTATTTATGTGATGTTTATAGGGAGATGTATGCAGCACAAATGAATACTACACACTATGTTTTAAAGCCTAAGCTAGTTTGCAGTGCCTGTCCTTTAAGTCTTTAAAACAAAATGTTACTACTCACAACAGCACTAATAGGTCCAAAAACAGAATTGCAGGCACCTTATCATTCTTTACAACACAAGTGACTTTAAAATCATCAATGTCATTGTTCGTTCAAGCTCTGTGGGTGTGGCGTTCCACAAATTGAACCTACAAACAGCTGAAGCTCAAATGAGGATCTCTATATTGGCACCTTAAGGTTTTTTTTGGAGACACCCTGTGATACTTAGCCAGGCATTCTGAAAGGTACATGGTTATATAGGTTTTTATACATCAATTTAATATGAACAAGTGTTCTGAAAAAATAAAACCTACTTCTAATGTCTTGAGTATATCACACCTTCGATATAAACCTGATGTCAACTTTACTACATGTTAGCATCAGCAGCTAAGTCACTCTTAAACTTCTGTGTTTAAAATCAACATAAAACCCTTACTTACTAAATAGAAACTACATTGATGTAGTCACATGTTTTATGTTCCTGACCACCATATTCCCAGAGCAGCAGAAGTCTGAAGTCTGCTGTTTATAGATTGATTTAGCTGCGCTAAAAGGAGGGGAAACATTCTTCTGAAAGCAAAAATGTCCCTTCAAAAACACACACTGGTCCTCAAGGAGAAGCAAATATATTTAAATGTGGGGACTTTTGGACGTTCTTGAGTTGAGTTATCTCTCAAATGCAACCTCAGAGTTAGCAGCACATATCTCAACACGTACCACACCAAGGCCCCTTCATTTTAATTTCCCAGCACTCCCTTTTCCCCTCCATCTCTAGTGGTTAAACAGGGAGAGGGAAGGATATGAAGAAAAAAAAAAACAGCTAATTGAATTTGTGCATCTGCTTCTGCCCACACTTACACATGAAGTTCAGTCGGAGAAAAAAAAAAGAGGAAAGGGAGGACTGCTGTTTTCAATATGATGCAATCACTATCTGTTTATTTTATAGTCTCCCTTTTCATCTTTACTGAAACGACCATTAAGGAGGGACTCTCTATTAGGAATAGGTGGGAAGAGGAGGTAAACAGATGCATGCAAATGAGGTTGTGGAGGGTGGTGGGGTGGGGGAGGAGGGGGTCAGGGGAGAGAGGAGGAAGGGGAGGGCAGGGGGATGAGTGTTTGTCTCCTGATAAGGGTGTTTGTACTCCACTACTGGGTGAAAAGCAGAGGGAGTGAGGGGAAGAGAGGGAAGGAACGAGAGAAAATAGGAAGAAGGAAGGTTGACTTATGAGGACAGCAGTTTCTGAAAGATGCATTTGTAAGATAATTAGAGAACTGATCATAACAAAAAATGTATCACTGTCAATCACTTCTTTTGAGTCTCTCTATTGGAACTTACCATCACAGAAATTGAGTTTCTCATTGTAGTAGTGATGCTCCCGAGGATTTGCTTAGGAAAAAAAAAAATGAAAAGGCCAAACGTGGGGTTAGATATAGGATATGAGCTTTATGAGCATGGTCCAGCCTAAGGACTCTAGTCTATATGTGGCAGATAATGAGGAACATGTAAATGAACTGGAGCTTAAACATCCCCCTGTAGCTCCAAGAGACCTTGTTGGCACAGTGTAACCTGTAAAAGTACCTCATGGCCTGGTTGCCATGAGCAAGAAAGTGGCCAGTCTGGTGGCCGGCCTTTCTGGCAGGCAGGAAAACCTCCAGGATTAGTAGTATTAATCAGATAAGGGGGTGAGGGGCCAGACAGGCCCAGACATGGGCACCTGCTTTGGGGCTGGGTAGGGAGGGTTGGGGGGATGTTTTCTTATTTTTTGGCTGCAGGGGACCCCCAGAGCTGCTCCAATGAGCCTGGGTCTACCTCTAGTGGGGAGATGTGGAACTGCGTATGATGCTTTTTTTTATTAATACAGGTATAGAGAGCAATAAATTGCCCAATGAATGATTGTCACTGGCGTACACAGTTTGTTTTGACATGAACAATGTTCACAGGGCTTTCACCTAACTGTTACATAAGAGAAACACCCCACATCAATCTCAGTTGTGACCTTTATTAGATGCACTTCAGTAAACTTGCAAATTAAACGGTCTTTTAGTAATACTGCAATCTTTAAAGTGTGGGTGTTTTGTTACTAGGAGGGCCTTTCTGTTATTTCTTACAGTTTGTTACAGTAAGTTGAGTCTTTTCGTTATAAATATGTCATACAAAACAAGAGTAACACCTGTAAGTACAACTTCAAGGGAATTCAACAGAAACTGCCGCCTCCAAAACGATCATACAGTTGATTAAACTCTTCTCTTAAATTGTTTTTTAAAAAACTAAACAGTATAACCTTCTTATAGTGTAGATTTATGGTGCACTCGTTTAGGCGGTAATACTTAAACTTAATTCTAAGCGTCTGTACAAACAATAAATATTGCCCTTTATTGGCACTGTTCTGGGTTACAGTTGTAAAGTTGTTTTTTTTATAACTACTCAGGACTTTATCTGTGATTAGTTCAGCAACATTTGAAACAGAATCAGATGATAGCACTGTCACTGTCAATCAAAGTTTTCTAAACTGCACCCACACAGGTCCAAAAAGCTTAAACTAATGCAACTGTGTGTTACTTTTTCCTACTATCATCTACTGTCATCTTCAAATATCAAAAACTTTTGATGTCACACTGACAGTGAAAAAGGAGAACAGTGCCTCTTTGACGTCCACTCTTCACCTGATCTTGCATTGTTAACCCTAATGTTGAGCAGGTAGAGTTTCCTAGAGAGGTTTCTGATTTTAGGCAGAAAACCCTGAAGGAAAAAAAAAAGCCTCCTGTTATAGTGATACAGTGCCTTTTCATATCTGGTTAATTAGGCATTTATGGATGAATTGAATGTCAGCCAATTCAATATTCAATGAAGTGACATAAACTTTAATCTAATATAAGGAGGAGGTAGATGGTATCTTCCCTATGAGTCGGATAAAAGCTTTTTTAACTCTTAGTGCTAATAGCTACTTAATTGTTTAAAAGTGATGCAGGACTAATACTTCTCTACTACACTATAAAACTACATTCAAAGGCCTCTGTGGTATTGTAATGCTATAGAGAAACACTCAGGTTTTAAAGCCAAGATGCTGTTTTAGATTTGAAATGCAACATGGACTACAGGGCATAAAAGCCCCAAAATATATATTAAGTATTTACATTTTTATAGTCTAACTTCAGGAGTGTCCAAACCCCCTTATTTTGAATAAATCTAGTGTAAATGAAATTGTGTCTGAGCTATTTCACAGCTATGTGAAAATGTTGTGATACTTTTGGATAGTGACTCTTCTCCCCTGCTTTGTCCCCCCCTCCCCACTCTGATATCAAGCCACACTTTAGTAATCCTCCAAATGAAAGGATTTGGAGCGGGAGCATCGTCTCTCCACTGACGATTGGACTAAAGAGAAAGCAGCTTCTCAGATGATAGAGAAAGGAGGAAAACCCTTTGATGAGAGTGAGAGAGGAAGAGACAGACACACTGTACACAAAATGAGCAAGAGCAAAATATACATGTGAGAGAGACAAAGAGAGGGAAATCTGTGAAACTGAGGCAGAGACGTCTGAGACAGGACAACCCAAAACGTGCTGATGAAGAGAAAGAGACTCTAAAATATTCAAGAAATGGTCGACGACAGAAAGCGTGGAAATAACAGAGACATTTAGCAGACAAATAACAAGGCATTTACTGAACTTCTTTAAAGGGAAAGACATAACAAGACAGCGTTGTGGTGAATTCACTATTCTACAAGGGGAGCAAAGTCAAGTTTAAAAAAAATATATATATTTCTATGAACAACTAAAAATTAACTAAAAATCACAAAAAATGACACTTTCGACTTATTCAAAGGTGTTGCTTTTAGAAATTACCCAAGAGATAACCTTCACCAGGCTGCTCCCCCTCAGCTTTACATTTTTGTTTGTATTGAAGCTACTGGTATATTCTTGTGGTCAAAGTAACAGCTCTTTTTTTGATGATTTAAACTAAATATTATGCCCAGGTTTCTCATTATGATAACAAATGGGCTATATCGGTGGTATGTAATGTTTGCTTTGGTATTGAACAGTATGTACTATATTTCTAAAATATTGATTTAATCCTTTTTACACATTGAAATTGTACTTTCATCCTGAAGAAACACATACTGAATCCTTATTTTGGAGTGACCTATTGGAAAAAAGTCTGAACATCTGAAGACTGCAACAAGTGCATACAGCCTGGTATTTATTGTTATTGTTCTTTTTTAAATCTGGCAAATACAGGAGGTGACAGCTAACCAGAATGTAGCCATCTTCCTCATGAAACTTAGTGTGGACTCAACAATACATTTATGGAAACAAACATAAAGTAAAGGAAGTTCAATCTCGTTTCCACACTTCTTTGACTGTGGGGGAGCGATTTGAGCGCTTCCTGATGATAACTGAAGCCTCTTGGCCTGAGGCAATATGAGGCTGGACTACATGGGGCCTCATGCTATGTGATCTAGCAGAAAGTCAACAGTTTAGTTTTCCTATCGCTGTGTGTCAGGACCCCAGGTCAACAGGAACACAGAGAGTGTAAGAGATAGAAGCTGGAGGCCTAATAACCTGGGTGTTTGTGTGTGGTATGTGCAGAAGGTTTTAGGGTGTAAATCCTACATACTAATAGCTATTAGCCTGTGGACGAGCGTATGTGTAGCTAACGGGTGTGAGACCCTAAAACAGGCAAAACTAATAATTTGTGTGTAGGAGTGTATGTTTGTAAGGGCTTATGTGAGCGTGGGAGGCAGCTGAAAGCCCTTCCTCATATATGAGGAAAGCACATCGATTCCAAAAACAAGACAAATGCAACTTATCTTAAACACAAACAGACATCCAATATAAACACTATTTACCTGGCTCTCCTTTATCGTAGTACTGATAGGTGCCAATATCTGTATCTGTGGAGCGAGAGAGACAGAGAGAGAGGGAGAGAGAGAGAGAGAGAGAGGATGATGAGCATCTTGCTGTCAGGGAAAAGCAGAAGACAGATCAGCAATTTCGCACCGTGGGATAAACAATCACTATCAGCCAGTGGCCTGTCCCGTCTGCCCACCACGTTTGAGCTGAGATAAGGCCCTGTGAGGGAGGAGGAGTGGGAGGCAGGATGGCTTGGGGGTGGGGTGGTGGGGTGGGGTGGGGGTGGGGGGTCCGAGCCAGAATAGATGAGGGGGGAGCAGAGGGGTATTAATAAAGACGGGAGTGTGCCTGAACCCGTCCCACCTGAGGGCAGACTGATTTACACACATACAACATATACATTTGAAAGTAGATGAACAGAATCAGCAGATAGCTTTAAAGACATACGAACAGCGGGTAACCAGTACACACACACACACACACACACACACACACACACACACACACACACACACACACACACACACACACACACACACACACACACACACACACACACACACACACACACACACACACAACACACACACACACACACACACACACACACACACACACACACACACACACACACACACACACACACACAAACACGTAAACTGCTGAGGTGAGGCTTTTTTTTTGTCAGTGTTATTCCTGCAGGCCCAAAACCATAAGCAGCCAGATTCGGATTCGCACAACACATCGTTTCTTTATCGCTTCATGACTGTTGCTGCTGCTGCTGCACCCGAGGCCAAGTCACACTAACACAACAGGAGAGCTGATAGCAGACACAAATACACACAAGCACACAGTTAGTAAATACTTAATTTTAATTATTTGTTTCTTATAACCTTGAGTATCAGCGGGACACTCATGATATTAAACAAAACCCAACGGGGTTTCATAGCAATGAATTTAACGTATAGTGCAAGTTAGGTGCATATTGTGAAATACAGGTATGTGCATTGAGTAGCAAAAATGTTTTTTGTAGGCAGCAGTGCTGATATGGCTTGGAAGATCTACAGGCTATATTAGCTTGGTTTTATAGTCTCCACATCTGATAGTATTGAAAACTTTAAGAAACTATGCTTTCCAAAACAATAGTAAACATGATTATATAGAGCAGGGTGCATTTTTACACTATATTTTGAATATTCTGTTCTATTTTCTTTAGAGAAATGCATTCAGGTACATGTAGGTACATGGTATAACTCTCAAAAATAGCAAACACTGAATAATGAAGTGATACAACTGACTTATTTAACAAGAGGTGCATCAAACTGCCACAGCTCATCTAGAGGACTCCTCCACATAAAAAGTGAGTAACAAAGCTCACTAACAGATGTCTGGCACATTGTGTACCACTTCAGACAAAAAGGATCGAATCATCTTACTGCTGGCAAATAGTTATCACCCTACACTCCTAAAACAAGGTCTACCAATAAGTCTGTTTGAGGCTCAGACGAATGAGTCACAGCATGAATGATTTATTGACAAATCAGTAGAAATAAAACAGGTTTTTAGAACAGACTTACCCAGCAGAATGTGTGGTGGAGGCATATTGCATGGCATTACAAGAATTTATATGAACTGTTATAGAGAGATCCCACAGAGAAAAATAACTACCCCATCACAATCTATACTCTAACTGTCACAGTCTAAAACACTGGCACATAACGGACCCAGCAATATCTACTGATCTGAAATAACCACCATTAATAGTCTATAGGAGTGGACATAACCTAAAGAACCTAAAGCAGTGAAAAGGAGCACACAGGCCTTGAAAACCTCTTCCAAAGTTACAAAGACTGAGGATGTGCTCAATGAAACAATATGGTCAAATCTCTACTTATCATACTAGAAAGAAGTATTTGAATCAATTTGATCGTGTTAATGGAACGATGTCTCATGTCATTTACGCGATCTTATGTCCGTGTCAGTCATCCTATGGTAGTGAAGCATCACGACCACTAAAGCCAAAAATGAGTGAGCATAAGAGCTCTCAAAAGGAAAAATGATAGACATTTCCCAATAACATAGCATAGAACAGCATAACATGCTCCCAGGAGTTCTGGTCTTGGTATGGTACACAAAAGATACAAATACAGTAGTTCATATAAATATACTTTTTTGAATGATTTACGAAAGCTGCAAGGTCAATGTTTTCGTTCATTGTACATGAAATCTCAAGAAATAGTCCTGTAAACAGGTCCAGTGATGTGTCGTTGTGTCTCATTTATTTAATCAAGTTTAGCTTGTCATTTTTCGTATTTCTGTTTGTTTTTTTTATCTTCATAAAAGTGGTTTATGTAGTGAGTGATTCAGCACAGGTCACTGCTGATGATTGATCAGCAATCCTAATTAGATCAAATGTCCCATACCTGTGTGGGCGACTGGGTGGAGTATTGTCTACTAGAGATCATGGCTTTGGGAATAGTTTGAGAACACACTTGGTCCACATGGACTGAAACATGTATTTTGTAATAAACGTTGATGCAGAGCAAGAGCAGTGAGCAGGATTTTCTCTTTTCAAGGCTACAACTATACCTCCTATGCACCTGCTGCCTGAGACAGTTGGATGTGCGAACACCTCCTTTATAACAATAACCGGAAAATGTGTCAGAGACTTGGGACTTAAATCATTCCAGTTCAACTAAGAGAGATAAGAAGAATAGATCAAGGGGTCGTATCTGAATATGCATTTTTAATCTTTGTTTTAAATTATGATCAATAATTAGTTTTGCCATTGAAAAGGTTGCTCTATGAGCAATTAACTCATAAACTGCGATGCTGCTCAGTGGCCAACAGCAAAAGGCTTTGGATACCAGGAAGGTGTACAAACAAATGTAGAACAAATCTAAAAAAACTATGGTTCATAGTGTCATGTGGTAGATGCTTTTATGTGTCCATGTTTTTGTTTTTGAGGTAGATGTATATAAGGAATGAGGTTGATGTAAGGAAGGTGGCGATATGCAGCGTCACACCTCAGCGACCAGGCCTCTGTGCTCAGATGTATCCATCCACATATATTTCTGAGATAGCAGAAGACACACACAGCAGGAAAAAAACAAACAAATAAGGATATGTCACCATCACCTAGGACACCCTGTCTTACCTTTGTGTATACACATAGGCCTATACACACACACACAGTCAGCCTCTGAGAGACACTATCTTTGTGTAAAGCTCAGCAGACTGTGAAAGACAAGACAGAATGGAAGGGAGGAGAAAACAAGAAAACAGATGGAAATGCTTTTTCTCCAAAGGAAGAGATGTTCTGATAGGTGGCGAGCAGGAAAAAAAAAAACACAAAAATGCCAGAAAAGTCAAACTTACACCCACTCAGCCTCACGACAAAGCATCGGTCAGCTGGTAAGGTTTCTCGAGGTTTGCATAATGCTGATGTAGGAGGTGTAATGTGCAGCTCACTTATCACAACTTAACGATGAGCGCTTCCCACAGGGGAACTGGCAAGATTTTACAAACAAGTCTGGTAAAGTTTAACTGTGTAAAGTATGTAAAAATAAATTATAGGAGCTGTTTGACATCTGATAATCTGCAGGATAGAGGCATGCTGTTACATTTGCTGCTACTATACATAATACATTAGAAACTACTCAACTACTACTGCCTGAATGCATTGTGTTAAATATAAGCTGCCAGGTTATGAAAGGAACATGGGATTCATTGAACACATAGATAATATCTTTGATTTTG